TGGGAGCCTCAATTTCCTAAACTGTACAATGGCCTGCTCCCCCAGAGCTCTTGTGAAGATCGAATGAAATATGGTAGGCAAGATGTTTTGTAAACTTTATCGGCTCTAATTATGATAACCAGATTCTGAGAACTGGGGTGGTGCCTAAACATGCCTTCTTTGAACATGGTAGCTAACCTCAGCGGCGATTTCAAAGCACTCAGCGCCTCTTCCTTCCCTACATACACCACCCCGTCCCCCTCCTCTCCCACGCACACTATGAATTACGAGCTTACTTCTTAGGAAGAATACTCAAGCTGAGGGGTGTTCCTGGGGTAGGTAGAATAGGAGGTGGGAAGGATTTTATTTTTTTTTTAAACCTGGTGTCCCTGAGCAGCTTAGAGCATAATCTTACTGTTCATAAGTAATGGTTATCCAGGTTGGGGTTAAGCCCCATGGTATTTCTGTTCAAAGAAACAGCTTGCCTTTTCTTATCCCATTTGCTTGGAATATCCTGCCAGGGTAAATTCCTCAGGTGTGTTAAAAGGGAAAACCCTAACCGGGATTTCCTCTACTGGGCTCAGGGTCTGTTTCCCTCTGGGGTTGTTGGGTTTAGTGTCCCTCTTGACTGGAATCAACTGAGCCCCTTTCAGTCTGTCCACTGATCATTTCTTTTCTAAAAAAAAATTAAATAATATTTTTCCCAATTACATGTAAAGACAATTTTAAACATTCATTTAAAAATTTTTTTGAGTTCTGAATTTTCTCCCTCCCTCTCTCACCTCCCCCCTCCCTGAGATGGTAAAAATTTGATATGGGTTTATACACATGCAATCATGCAAAACCTATTTCCATACACTGATCATTTCTGCAGCCTTGCATTTTTCTCATCAGCCAGATGTGTGTGATTGTGGGTAAATCATGTCATCTGATCTGTAGGTTCCTGGTTTCTCAACTATAAAAGTGAGATTCACAGGCTTAAACAAATACCTTGGAGATTATCCAATTGAATCCCTTCATTAAAGATGGGGAAACTGAGGCAAACAGGGGTTAAGTGACTAACCCAAGGTCCCGCAGTTAATAAGTGTCTGACGAATGGTTTGAACTGAATCCAAGTCCAGCACTCAACTGGATGGGTGCTGCATCTACCTAGTTGGGCAAGTAGGCAAACTCCTCTTTTTGCAGATGGGGAAACTGAACCTCAGAGGAGAAAGGGACTTGGCCAGGGTCATACATGTAGACAGTGACAGGCTAGATTTGAACTCCAGTCCAATGACTCCTGTCGATAGAGCTGAGGGCCTGGAGTCAGGAGGACCTGAATTCAAATCCTGCCTCAGATACTTGCTAGCTGTGTGACCCTGGGCAAGTCACTTTAACCTGTTTGCCTCAGTTTCCTCATCTGTAAAATGAGCTGGAGAAGGAAATGGCAAACCACTCCAGGATCTCTGCCAAGAAAATCCCCAAATGGGGTCATGGAGAGTCAAACACAACTGAAAAACAACTGAACAGCAACAACCAGTGACTCTAAATATGGCGCTTTTTCTAGGGAGGGTGGTTTGCCAAAGTCGCGCAGCAAGAAGTCCTGCCAATAGTCTTTCCACACATTTCATTTTCAGCTTCTCTCTCGGAGTCTCTTTTGTGCCTCAGTTTCTCCTCATGTACAAAATGAGGCAGTTGGAATAGATGAGTTCCAAGGTCCCCGGGCCTTTAGGCCCCCATAGGCCTAAATTCCTCATCTGTAAAGTGGGAATTATGAGAAATACCTTAAGGGCTTTATAGAATTCCCATGCAGGTTGACTAATACATGGAAATTTATATAATGAATAATATATTATTATTTATAATATAAACATAATAATTAATATGAGATAATTAATATATAACAATGTAATATAATATAATAAGGGTGATGAATAGATGATGAAAATGCTCACAAAATCACATGAATAGAACCAGACAAAGGCTAGAGGCTGTGGCTGCCTGGCTGGCCCATGAGGTTTGTGCTGGAGGAGGAATTGTAGAGATTTGAAGCAATTTCAATGATCGCTCCACTTTTATTGGGTTTTCTGGGTTTGGGATTTAGCTGAGGGCTTGGAAGGGGGAGACCAGCCTGCAGGGCTGACCATACTACAGGTAGGAGGCTGCCTGTACAGTGTGATGAAAGGGAACCTCCCCCCCACCCCATATAGGCAACCCCCAGTTTCTGAGTCTGAATTTTATCTAGACATTTATCTGATCTTAGAAGTCATTCTGCCCTTCAGCCAAAGTCAATCTTTCATTATACAATGATACATTAGTCTCAGAATAGTAGTGAAAACCCCTGGGAGAGAGGGAGAGAGAGAGAGAGAGACCACAGGACCATAAATTTATACTAATGGGTAAATGACTGATAGCGGAAGCTTTCCTGGGAGCAAGATTTCCTTGAGGAGAAGAGAACAGCCAGGAAAAGGGTACCAGCTGAGGCCATAGCACTGGCCTGCAGCTTAGGGGGCCTCGATTTGCATGCTGGCTTAGATGTACTCTATCTGTGTGACCTGGGGAAAGTCACTATGCATCTCACCAGCCTCAGTTTCTTTTCTGTAAAATGGGGTTAATAATACCCCAATTTAATAAATAATAACATAGACAACATTAATATAATATAATTGTATATGATACTAATATTATGGTAACAAAATAATTATACTATTTACTTCACTGAGTTGTAAGAAAAACCCTGTACAAACCTTAAAACAATATACAAATGGGAGTTATTATAATTATCATTATTGTCTGAATGAGGCTTAATAATATTTGTGTCAATCACCTCACCGAGTTGTAGGAAAAGCCCTCTATAAACCTTAAAGTAATATGCAGATGTGAATTATTATTATTACTATCATGGTCATTATTGCTACCTGAAAGGAGGTATTTGGTAGAGAAATCACTTGAAGAAGAGCTCTGGAGGATAGAATGCCTACCCATTCCCACTCCTGGGGCTGGTCTCAGCCTCCTTCCCTTCTTTTCTACCTGCCTCAAATCACCTTCTTCTTCCAAGCTCAGATCAAATGGCATCTCTTCTATGTGGCCTTTTCCTTCCTCCTCGGTGATCTCCCCCTTCCCCCTCCCTCCCCCTCCCTTCCCTTCCCCGTCCCCCTCTCCCTCCCCTCTCCCTCCTCCTCCCTTCCCTTCCCCCTCCCTCCTCCCCTCCTCCTCCCTCCCCTCTCCATCCCCCTCCCCCTCCCTCCTTCTCCCTCCCCCTCCCTCTCTCCCTCTCCTTCTCATCAGAACCAATAAATAGCCCATGGTTTACTCGGTTTCTTCCTGTCTTTAACCTCATGGGCCATACTTGCTTTCTATATACTTATTTTTGTCTTGGTCTTATCTCCCCTTTCTGTTATTATTCAACTGTGTCTGACTCTCGGTGACTCCATTTGGGGGGTTTCCTTGTCCAGCTCATTTTACAGATGAGGCAAACCGGGGAAGTAACTTGCCCAGGGTCACATAGCTAGTGTCTGAGGCCAGATTTAAACTCGTGTCTCCCCGACTCCAGGCCTGGCGCTCTACCCACTTCAATACCTAGCTGCCCTGCTCATCTCCCTTACTAGATTATAAATTCCTTGAGGGTAGGGGCTGAGCATTCATTTTTATATCCCTTGTAGGGATAACCTCAATGTTTAACACTGAAATGGAAGCTTGAGAAATGACTTGGAAGTGACTTCCGTGCACTTTCTTCCTAGACCCTTGTGGTCTGGGCCTTCCTTGCCCCCATTTTGCTTCCCTGGTAGGCTTGGGCCATCCACAATACCTCTTCTCTCTGGAAGCCTTCCTGCTGATGGGGAGCCTTTAAAATCCCTAACTCTTCCCTTTGGCTCTGATTCCAATTGGCTTCTTTTTAAATGATCCCTTTCCATCAGGAGGTTGTTGGGTCTCTACTTAAAGACTGTAAGGAGAAACCTCATAATAAGGCAGCTCAAGAGAGAGTGTGAGAACCTAGTACGGCAGGGAGAATGACTGTCAATAGCCAAGTCTCTGGTGGACCGAGGATGGGAGGTAAATGCCGCCATCTTGGAAGACCCATGAGCTCTGAGAACCAACAAGGAAGTTCCTTCAGACTTCGAAGTCAACGGTCAGGGCCCCTTTCTAACACAAATCATTTTAACCCCCCTGGGCCTCAGTTTCCTCATCTGTGAAATGGCTCAACCAGATAGCTGCTGGGGTTCCTTACAGTTCTAAATCTATGATCCTGTGTCTAGGGGCCTAGCAATACTGCATTCCCACTTCTGGTGACTTTCTTGGTGGTTGAAATCCCTTCTTTAGATATAAATGAGCTGCAAAGAACAGCAAGGCCTTGCCATAAGAGGTGAAGTCCTGGGCCCAGCACTTCTATGGAAAAAAAAATGGTAGGCGAATTTGGTATTCAAAGGTAAAGTGAAATGGGAACGATGCCAGGACTGTTTGTGGTTCAACCCAGAACATTTGGGGAGACTTATAGACCTTGCAATGAATGGGGTGAAGAAGGCCAAGTAGATCGATTCAATTACAAAAATATCAATTCAATTAAAAAAAACCTTCATGGGGGCAGCTAGGTGGCCCAGTGGATAGAGTACTGGCCCTGGATTCAGGAGGACCTGACGGCCTCAGACACATAACACTTACTAGCTGTGTGACCCTGGGCAAGTCACTTAACCCCATTGCCTAGCCAAAAAAAAATTTAAAAACACCTTCATTAGATGTACAAGTCACAAAGCCCAAAGCAGTCCTAAAACCTTTTAGACAAAGTATTTATCTCATAGGACTTAGAGGGAGAAGGGCCCTTAGGGGCTATTGAGTCCAGCCCCATCATTTTACAGATAAGCTCCTAAGAGGGCAAATTAAATGACTTAATTAATTAAATGGCTTATTCAGAGTGATAGAGGGTCTAGAACCCAGATCCTTTGCCTCCGGCCACAGGGCTCTTCAGACCAGGAGGAGGACCAGGGGACCTATGAGGAGGGAAGGCTGTGTCTGCAGAATGGGCTGGCCCCATTGGTTTCTCTTACCATCCCAGCAAAAGCACATCCCGTTTTGATGACCACGAGAAAAGCTGGGGTTGTGAGCTGAAAGACACAAAAGTAAATTTCTTGTTAGCATTTCAGGGCCTGTCCATCATTGACTCTCCTAGCAACAGCATTTTCCCATCACGTGGAGCAGTGGACAGCATCTTCTGGGAATACACGTCCACAAAGAGAGAAAGAGTTCACAAGCCCCCATCGGTGTGTTTACCGTCTCCCTCGTCAGCCAGAGGAGCCAACAGCATTGAAATATTTGGCTTCCGTATTACGCTTTGGCTGACGGTGAACCTCAGTCTCCTTTGGGCATGTGTTTTCTGACAACAGCCTTGTGAGGCGGGCATTACTGGTATTGTGATCTCCATTCAGTCAATCACTCAGACATTCGCTGTGCACCTAATATGTGCCAGGCACTGTGCTGAGCACCGGCATACAAGGAATGCCAAAGGTGGTCCTCGCAGTGGAGAAGCGCGTAGTCTCCTGGGGGAAACAATGTGCAAACAACTACGTACAGACAAGCTGCAGACAGGATACATGAGAAAGAATTAATAGAGGGACGTAATAGCATTGGTAATTGAAAATCAATAGCATGTTTCCTAAAAGGGAGATAATCGATAGCATGAAGATGCATTGGGAAAAGCTTCCAGTAGAAGGTGGGATTTTAGCTGGGATTTGGAGGAGGCCAGGACATAGAGATGAGAAGGGAAGGCATTCTAGGCAGGGGGCACAGCCAGAGAAAGTGCCTGGAGTCTGGAGATGAGGGTCTTGTTGGTGGAAAAACAAGGAGTCAATTGTCTCTGGATGGAAGAGTGGGAGGGTGGAGGCAGACGGTGAAGTGGCTTTCCTAGGCTCACACTGCTAGAAAGTTAGAGTTTATCTAGCTGCATGTTTCGAGCCTTTCCATCCATGCTGTGACTGAAGCCTCCTAAGTGGCTTATCTCCTCTAGTTAGAGCATGAGCTTCTCCAAAGCAAGGATGGACCTTTTTTTCCTATTGGTATTCTGAGTACTTAGCTCCTCCCTCCCTCCTTTTCTCTCTCCTTCCCTCCCTTCCTCCCTCCCTCCCTCCCTCCGTTCCTTCCTTCCTTCCTTCCTGCCTGCCTGCCTGCCTGCCTGCCTGCCTGCCTTCCTGCCTGCCTTCCTTCCTTCCTTCCTTCCTTCCTTCCTTCCTTCCTGCCTGCCTGCCTTCCTGCCTTCCTTCCTTCCTTCCTTCCTGCCTTCCTTCCTTCCTTCCTTCCTGCCTGCCTTCCTTCCTTCCTTCCTTCCTTCCTTCCTGCCTGCCTTCCTTCCTTCCTGCCTTCCTTCCTTCCTTCCTTCCTTCCTTCCTGCCTTCCTTCCTTCCTTCCTTCCTTCCTTCCTTCCTTCCTTCCTTCCTTCCTTCCTTCCTTCCTTCCTTCCTGCCTGCCTGCCTTCCTCCCTGTCTTCTTCCCTCCTTTCCTCTCTTCCCACCCTTCCTCACTTCTTCCAAGTCTAGAACCTTTATATGACTTTGCCTAGGTACAGTGGTCCGTAGGCAGCTTGGTGCTGCAGCGGTGTGCATTATGGACTTGGAGTGGGGCTAACCTGAGTTTCAAACCTGTCTTAGACACTTACTAGTTGTGTGATCCTGGCCAGGCAAGGCACTTAATCCTCTCAGTCTCATTCCCTATCTGTAAAGCGGGATAATAGTACCCCCTACCTCCCAGAGCTGTGTAGATCTAGTGCAAAGTTTCAAGTACTGAGTTATCACCATCATCATCTTCAGGTCCATTACCCCATGTTGTTGCTCAGTTATGTCTGACTCTTTGTGACCCCATGGACCACAGCACGGCAATACTGTCCATGTGGTTTTCATGGCAAAGGTACTGCAGTGGTTTGCCATTTCCTTCTCCAGTGGATTAAGGCGGACCTGTCCAGGGTCACACAGCTACTAAATGTGTCAGGCGGGATTTGAACTCGGGCCTTCCTTACTCCAGGCCCAGTGCTCTATGCACTGTGGCACCCCCTCACTGCCTCCCCATTACCCTGTGCTGCCCCTTTAAATCTACCGCATCACAACAGACGTCCTCGCTGTCTATAAAGATCATCAATTCACCCCCCTCCCCCGGTTATTAGGGACGCTGTGGAAGGAAACACCAGCCAGCACACGATTTCCAAGTTCTAATGAAACATCAATCCACGTCTCGTGTCCCAGCCTTTCTTTCCAGGGACTTGGAGCAGACGTTCTCAGACTCGACCAGATGGTGTCTGAGCGGGGTGGGGAGGAACAGGTGTATTTATCTTTGTTTGAGAAAAGCAGGTTAGAGAAAGGTTAAGTGAGACACTGAAGAGAACTCAGGCATCCCCAGCTCCCCACTCACTGCTTGATCTTCTTGGTCACGGAGGCTGGGGGGAGCATCTTACAGAGTGATGGGGTCTAAGAGTGCAGAGCTGGAAGGGACCTTAGAGACAGGCTAGGGCTGGGGCAGTCCTCCTCCGACCTATTTTCTAGGTGAGGAGGGGAATACTCATCCAAGAACCACATGGCTAGCAATAAGCAGGCTTTGGGATTCAAACCCGGGATCTCTGACCCCAGATGCCCCTCGCTTTTCACTGTTACCATGATGCCTTTCTAAAACTAGGAGTTTTTAGCAGAAACTGAATGAGAATGAAGGGCAAGCATAAAGTTGTTGGTGCTCGGTCATGTCCAACTCTTCATGACCCCTTTTGGGGTATCTTGGCTGCGGTCCTGAAGTGCTTTGCCATTTCTTTCTCCAGCTCATTTTACAGATGAGGAAACTGAGGCAAACAGGGGTAAGTGACTTGCTCAGAGTCACACAATCAGTGTGTGTCAGAGGCTCGATTTCAGCTCAGGTCTTCCTAGCTCTAGCCGTCTAGCCAGGATGTATCAGAGGCAGGAATTTTTTTTCCATTTAAATTTATCTTTCAATTCACAAGCATGTTTATTTTCTCCTTTCTAAAAGAAAAACAGAGCCCTTCTAACAAATATACATAGCTAAGCAAAAGAAATTCCTACATTAGCTATGTCTAAATCATACATACATACATACATACACACATATACACACAGATGTATGTTTAAATGAATGTATATGTGATATATGTATATGTATATATACATATCATCATTATATATTACATATAGTAATGTAATTGTGGTATACGCAATTTAATGCATAATATAGGATATATTATATAATAGAAGTAATATATAAATACTATATAATAATACAATGTAACAACACATAACATACATGTGCTACAATATATAACATATACAGACATGTGCGTACATATGCACATATATACATATACGTGTGCATGCATACATGCATACATACATACACACAAATATTCTGAGGCAAGAACTGAAGCCAGATATTTCTTCCTGCGCCCATTGCCAGCCTCCTGTCCATTTCCTCTCTATTCCAAAAATTTTTACAGCTCAAACACCAAGCCCTCCTTCAATGGACAGAGTCTGTGTCTGTGCCGTCCTTCACTTCCCCTCTGAACATGAAAATCTCTTTTGACCTGTCTAAGATTCAGAGCCCGCTCAGGGTTACCCTGCCTTGTTCCCTACCCAAATATCCCCAAGCTTGTATTCCCCCTTTTTTTTTTTTAAAAAAAAAGTCTTTCTGTGGAATGCAATGGGGAAAAGCTCTGATCTGGGAGTCAGGATGCTCCCAACCTCCACCACGGCGAACTTGCTGTGTGACCTTGGGAGAGATGTTTAACCTCTCTGGTCCTCTGTTGACACATCTTTACACCGAGGGGTGTCACTAGGTGACCTCCAAAGTTCCTTCTAACTACAAGCTTCTTTAAGTAAATAAATGCGCATGAAGAGAGCCTTGTCAGTTTTCATCGCTCACTCCGCAGGGAGAGCCTCGGCTTGTTTATATTTCTGACTCCGATGGGGTGAAGGTGCATGAAACAGGCTGCTGCCCCCGAAGTTTGGGAGAGGTGGCTCAAGGACAAGAGAAAATCCAACTGTCCACGGCGGGGAGCGCCAGGGAGGACCCTCGCGGGTGCCGACTGAGAATGTAAATAAGTTCATGAAGGGATTAGATAAATTCGTGGGCAAAAGATCAAATAAAATGAAAGCTAATATTGACAGTGTCCCAGCTGCATGAGACACACCATGGAAGGCATTGTTGGGGACGGGAAGGAGGGTGAGCCACGGGAAACAGCGTGGGCTCTGACCTCCTCTGGTGCTTACTGCCTGTGTGACCTTGGACAAGTCACTCACGTGAACTCTCTGGGCCTCAGTTTCCTCATCTGTAAAATGAGGGGCTTGGACTAGATGATCTCTGAAGCCCCTTCTACTCTAAATCGGGAGTTCTTAACCTTTCTTGTAATATGGACCCCCTTCGGCCACCTAGTGAAACCTATTCAGAATCATATTTTAAAATGCATGAAGTGAAACACACGGGATTACAAAGGAAGCCAATTATACTGAAGTCAATGACTAGTTGATTTATATAAAAATCGGTTTATAAAAACTGATTTGTAAAAAAAAAGAATAATCCATTTTTTTAAAGCTCATTGATCCTTGATGTAGATCTATGAGACTTATGAGGGAAGGGCATGAGTATTTATATGGTGCCTACTATGTGCCTGGCACTGTGCTAAGCACTTTAAAAATGATCTCGTTTTATCCTCATACCAGCCCTGAAAGGTGGGAGCTGTTATTGTTTCCATTTTACAGCTGAGAAAACTGAGGCTGAGACTTGTGTAGGGTCTGAGGCCAGATCTGACCTCTGATCTTCCTGACTGCAGACCAGGCGCTCTGTGCACTGCACCCCGGATCCTACCCAGCGTGGAATAAGCGGGACTTAGGTTCTAGTCTTATTGCTAAGCCATATTGGCCCACGAGCTGGGCCAAGTTCCTTGGTGTCTTAGTGCAATGGGCAGCCTGGAAGAACCTGCGCTGATTCGCTCTGGCAGATCGAATTTCCTCACTGGGGTTTCCTTATACCGATGAAACCCCACATCCGGATTAAAATCATAATACCCACAAAACCTGGCATTTACGCAGCGCTCCAAGGTTTTGCAAAGCACTTTGCCCACGTT